TTCAGTCTGCAGGCAGTGCAGGTATTCATACAAAGATGCATTGATATCCTCGAACATTCCTTTCCTATTTTTGAAAACAACCTTTGTTCAATAATGAAATATCGGCTCGCTACAAATGTCTCTCAAGTATGTATATTTTGTAAGGTTTTATTCCAGTGGAACAGTGAAGTAATAAAGCAAGATTTAGGAATAATGACATTTCATCATTGATTTCATCATTATGTTTCTCACACAAAGCTATCATTTAGCTTTAGAAGACATGGAATGTAGAGCACCCTTTGTATGAAAACTCATTTTGTGTTCCAAAGAAAAAGACAAATCATTTGGGCTTTGTATAAAAAAGATCTACACTGTAGCTACACACGCACACACAAACACACACTTCACCCATTTAAATATTTAAAAATGTAACATTTTGCAAACATAATGCATAGAGTTTGGAGTCAATTGTTTGATCTGTGATAATGCAATTAAAAAGGTGGGAAATTGTGCAGATATAATTTTTGGCCCAGCTGTCATATATATATAATTTAAAAAGAAAGAGAATTAATGCAGTTTTAGGGCTGCTAAGAAATGTTTATGACCGGTTCCATACCGGTACATACCATCCACCCTCCATTGTCAAATGTGGCTTCAAGTAAATTTGCCAATCTGAGGGTGAGTAAATAATGACAGTTTTAATTTTTGGTGTACTGTCCCTTTAAATTTGGACTCTCTTTTTACCTTGTTTCCTCTTTCTTTCTTGCTCTCTCGTCCAAATGTCAGACCTTTCTGCCTTGCAGCTTTCCCAGAGCCCAGGTCAGATTGAACGGGTTAAGGCGAGATAAAGCACTAGTGTTTTTAACAATAGCCAACAACAAAGTGATAATAGAAAAGGAAAAATATCAAATCCGTGAAGCTACCTCAGGTCCATGGGCGGTTTTTGAGGGTGGATTTAGCCTCCCAGCCTGGTTTTCGTTTTTTTGAAACCTGTTTATCCGAAATTTGCTGCATGTAATGAAAGCAAGTTCTTGTGACATCCTCATTTTCCCAGTTATAAACATTACGACTTCCTGTAATTAGCTTAGTCATTGCTTTACAATCTGAAGTAATCATCATTTGAATTTCTATTAAGGAGGTAGTCCATTTAGGGACGATTGCAAAACGCAATTAGGTATGTTGACAAACAGTAATGACGGTCAGTGGCTTATTACGAAATCATTAGCACACTGAAATCTCATTATATGTGTAATATCATTCCATAATGTGTTTATTAGTTGATGAAGGAGCCCAGAATGCCTGCTGTGGAGTGTTAAAGCACATGCTCACATGATGATAGAATGAAGCAGTAGGACAGCATTTGAAGCTCAGTCATTGGCTTAGCTAGCTTCACGTCGCATTACCGGAGATATTGAATGACCCGTTTTAATGCATGAAGCGATTGACCCACTTCAGTGTATTTCGTGGATGCCTCAGAGTCTGGAAATTTTCTGATTCCATTTCACTTTGATACATGGATCCCCTGCTTTGGGGGCCAACGGACTTTAAAAGCATGCTATTACAGTTAAGGATTGTTGACTAGTCTTCTAGATTAGCGAGGCTAACTAGTTTTGTTTTTCCTGTGATGTAAGGGTATGAGTGATGAGAAGGTTACGGTATGCTGATATGGTGCGCTTTAATGTTCTGAAACTATCAACATGGTAAAACTCTCTCAGAAAAGTTGTACACACACACATACTACAGCTCAAAAGTTTGAAACAAGCCCTTACTTTACCTTATCAAGGGAAAATTAATTAAATTACAGTAATTAATTACTTAGTAATCAGGGGTGTTACGATACCCTCATGTCACGATTCGATACATATCACGATACTGAACTCACGATACGATATTATTGCCATTCTCCAAGACATTTGGTAAAAGGTTAACAACAAATTAAAATGCTAAATTTGGTACATTGTGGGTGTAAATGAATAGGCTTGGACTTGGTGCTGGTAACCCAATTCACAGGACAATGGTGACACCAGAATAAAAATATTCATGATTCTGAAGCTGAAAATACTGAATTATTTCAGACGAATATGCTTGCACTCTGTCACTGACTAGATATATTTAAAATAATCTAGGCCACTTATGTTACTGGTAACATAAGACATTTGACATTTTGGGACAGTTTTCATTTTGGGTGAACTATACACAATACAGATTGTCACTATCCACGATACATATTGTTGCATTTTTGTATTGCGATATATTGTGACACGATATATTGTTACAGCCCTATTAGTAATGCATTACACCCAACTCTGTCTCTGATTGCAGTATATAGGGTGCATAAAACATGAATACAGGTTTATGGGAAAATTATTCCTGATGGATACGGATAAGGATTAGTCAAGGTCTAAAAAAGTTTTCAATGACATTCATTAAAACTGAGACTGAAAATTCAATGTGTCTGGGAAATATAAAATCTTTTTCTCTCTTTCTCTCTCCCTCTGATAGCCATGTATAATAGGAAAAGAAAAAAGGTACAAAGATGAGTCAGCTTAATTCACTTATGTGCTGATATTCAATAATACAACCATAATGAAGTCAGACATCTCCTAAATAAAGCCTTATCTTAATGTTGTCCCGTCTGCTTCAGTGGCGTGATCTGTATAAACTACTTTACTCTCCGACTGTAACATGAGAGCGAGTCTTTCCCCTTGATCCTAATCTTCTAAATTTAGTTATAGGAGCATTTCTCACTCGCTTCTTTTCCCCCTGACTGTACGCAGACAGCACAGACCGTTTTATTTATTCCTTCCTGTTTACACTGTCATTCTCCTTTACATTCTAATAATCTTCTGCTCTGTTCAGAAAGACAGTCTCATGACAGCGGCAGGATTATTACTCAGTGCTGGATGTAATTGCTATGGGCCCGGTGTTTGCTTTCTGTCTCCTAAGTAAACATTATAAATCATTGCTGTTCACTGTGGCTATCTACACTAACCCCATCTCCATTCCAAAATCAAACTGACCACTTTAATAGCTAAATATAAATGAAAACTACATGAGAATAAATCAAATGTTGCATCACTATCCGAGCTACACGTGTTACTGTTCTTCTTTGTCCAATTCATAACTACCGAAACATAATAAGTGCTTTTTTTTTTTTGCCTTTGAATAAAATCAATTCCCTGTTTGAATAAAAACTCGCGCTGTAACAGTTAGAAGCACACTTCTTCGTGGTGAATGTAAAAGAACAGCAGGGTCAAATGTACAACTGCAGTTGATTCAATAAGTGTTGTCTGTGAAAAATTGGAGGAAAATCCTTTTGGCTGTACTTTACCATGGATAAGAATTTGTAAAGTGAGAAACACTATGACCTTCGCTTGTAATTTTCAGTCTTTTAGTGGTGGTTTGAACATGCATACAGTATCTTATAAAACATAAATTTTATACAAGAAAACCAAAAGGTTGCTGGGAGTGAGATTGTTAGAAACCATCATTTGAAATGTCTAAATTGCTCTGATTATTTCTGGCTGAAACTTCTTTTTTTCTGAGGCTTTTGTAAATAATAATGCATTATTATTTGCATCTAAATACATTTTGGCTTGAACACCTGAGCCCGTTGATCATTTCCAAAATCATAAAGGAAGTAGATTTTCTTCTGTGGAACATAAAATATATTTTGAGGTTTTATACAGTGAAAGTCAGGGGTCCAAAACAATGTTGTATGGACAAACTTTGTTCAAAATATCCTCTTTTGTATTCCACAGAGGGAAAAAAAGTCAAGTTCTGATTGTATGGAAGCTTAATTGTGACATTTTATAACTTGCAATTCTGAGTTATAAAGCTTTGAGTTATAAACTCGCAATTGCAAGAAATTGTGAAGATAAAAAGGCACAGTTAACTTTTTTATTCCATGGCATAAACAAGCTTCCATACGAGGGTGAGTAAATGATGACAGGAATACTTTACTGTGCAGAAAACAGCTGTATCATATGGTTCACACTTAATGGCCAGTTTATATTTAAAATATTTAGTCTCTTCTCACATTGACAGATTCGTATATTATGAATAGTACTGTTTAAAATTAGGGGATGTAATTTTCAGGCTTTGGCTCATGTTGAGCGTAATCTGGGGTGAACCATCCTCTCAATGTTTGCTCAAACTTTTTAAGCATTGCAAGGCTGAGTCATATAAGGAGATATGCATAATTACCATCTTCTCCTACAATCCCCAAGGCCATGTTATTAGAAACAAAATAACAACCTAAGTCCACTCCTCAACCTTTTCACTAAATGAAGGACTGAGGCTGTTTTAATGAGATGCCATAATGTGCCGTTTGTGCGGTGAGTGGCATTTGCACTAACTGGCTGTCTGAACCTGAGGGTGGAACTTTATTCCATTCCCTCAGAGGACATAATCATTTCTTTGCTTGATAATAGAACTGGAGATACAGGTGGGTTTTGGGTAATGATCGGAAAAAAACAACAACAGAGGGTCAGTCCAGGTCAGCCAAGCGTAACATATTTGTCTTATTGACATTCACCAACCTTTTTTTTTCCTTCAGATTGAGATTATGTAAAATAAATGCTGTTCGTTTTAGACAGATCATAGCAGAATAAGTGCGCCTGCTTTAGGATTCCTGAACAGTGGCTCAAACTCTGTATTTTCTCATTGCTTGAGAAAATACATTTCTCATGTTGGAAATTCATTTAAGCAAGAATGATTGTGGTATTATGACACTACTATGATACTTTCAGCTGCTTGAGATTGAGTTATGAATGTATAAATGGGATGCAGAATGCTTGTGGCCATATGGTATACGGGTACAATATATGTATATATATATATATCAAAAGTATCTGCGTACCGTGACAGATGTTCCTTTTAGCAAACGTACATCCCTATATCTCCACTATACCACTGTAGCCCCTCAGGCCTTTTACCCAGAGTCATTTTATAATGCATTGGTTTCATAATATGAATTTGTGTATGTTAATATTACTTTAACCTCATGTGTATTGATACAGGTAACAGAATCATTACCGAGGGTGAATATGTGGAAATGACTGGAATCACCAAAGACATGTCCGGCTCGTACGACTGCATCACCTCGAACGACATCTCGCCTCCAGACGTGAGGACTGTTCAGGTTACTGTAAACTGTGAGTATCTCATTCACCCTAAGCAAATTGCTGTTAATGCCATCCATTTATCATATGTTTTTTTTTTTTATGAATTCCTCAATTACACGTGATTCATTTCACAGACCCACCTGTCATTTCACGAGCTCAGAGCACAGGAACGGCCGTCGGCCAGAAAGGAGTTATGTGGTGCGAGGCGTCTGCGGTTCCTCTGGCGGATTTTCATTGGTATAAGGGGGAGCGCAGGTAAGGCTAGTAGTTTATTATTTGAATTTTTTTTGACAGTGAAAGTCAAGCAGGAAATATTTAGGTAGAGAGAGGAGAAAATGGGATTGGAACCAACATGTCCCAAGGCTCAACAAATTGCTAGTTCAGGGGTGTCCAGTCCTGCTCCTTGAAGGCCACTGTCCTGCAGAGTTTAGCTCCAACCCCAATTAAACACACCTAATCAAGATCTTACTAAGCATTAGTGTTGTCAAAAATACAGATATGTCTATATGTATCGATACTGAAATATCTAAACGGTTCTAATACTCCTTTTTGGCAGTTACGATACACCGTTACAGGCTGTGTGGTCTTGCTCTCTTCTCTCAGGCGGCGAAGTGACACACACCCGCCTCCTGTCACTTACTCGTCTCATTTGCTCCGGTTGAATAGTGATTGTATTGTGCATAATTTTACTCTTCCCGAAGGTTTCGTGCTCACACCAAAAGTGTGTGCACCACATATAAGTGGTGCCCTCATAAAGCTGCCTCTCAAACAGCTTGAGAGTACCAAAGTGACTTCCTTTTCATGGCTTATTGCACTTAAACGGTCAAATGCATACGGAATTATGTCAAAATGTCCATCCTGCAGATTATTCAGGTAAATGCAGTCAGTTTGGAGCGGAAATAGTTGAGATAACACATGTTGTGTAACAGTATATTGGATCCGTGCATAAACTCTTAAAGTGACAGCAGCCTAATAGATCTGTCATGTAAGATCAATATTAATCGATTCTCATTTTTATGAACCGATATCGAGTCTTAAATCTCAAGAATCGATTAGTCATCCTGTTTTCATTTGATGAATGAATGGAACATTGTAGCGCGCATCCCAGCCAAAAAAATCGCAATAATCTTCGTGCTTTGTTACTATTGATACTAAATAAAGTCTCAAATTTCAAATTACGTCCATTTTCTTACGAAATTATAAATTATAAATACCGTTTTGGCGCTGTGGCGTGAGATCGCTCTGGCTCAGCTCAGCTCAAGAGAAGCAGCAGTGCGGAGCGCACATGATCTCCTCTTCTGCCTTAATAATACCAGTTACAGCGCGAAATAAACATGAATGAGCATCTGAAAGTGTGTTAAAAGATAGAGTACAACTTATCGAAATCCGTATCATGTCACATGGAATCGCTCAATCAGTGTTTCAACCGTGGAAAGACGTCAGTAAAACAACTTGTAAACAATGTCATGTAACGTCACATTTACCTCAGAAAAACCATATGGTACCATAAACTCGAATCGAATTGTGAAATTTGTGTCAATACCCAGGCCTAGAAAATGGTATCGAATATCGATATTTTTTAAAGGTATCGTATTTAAGTTGGAAATTCCAGTATCGGGACAACACTGCTAGGCATACTAGGAACTTCCAAGCGAGTGTATTGAGGCAAGATGGAGCTAAACTCTGCAGGACAGTGGCCTTGGACAATCCTGCGCTAAGCCATGGTTCAGGCAGAGCTTGTTAAAAAAAAAAAAACTGTATTTGCTGAGAGAAAGACTGAGAGAGCGGTATGCTAATTTGTGCCGTCACCCGTCCGCTTACATAGATTTAATAACGTCTCATCTTAACACGCTTCTAACTTGACCTCAAATTTTCCAGACTCCTCAATGGATTCAATGGGGTCAAGATTGAAAACAAGGGTAAACAGTCCATGCTAACATTCTTTAACGTCTCCGAAGAGGATTATGGGAACTACACTTGTGTGGCCATGAACACGCTGGGAATAACAAACGCCAGCATTATTTTGTACGGTAAGAGGCTCCTTCTAATAACTAAATGCCTGTTAATTTATGCATAAAACCTGTGTCAAGTATAACTTGGCACAACCAACGAGCGTCGCAATGTGTCAAATGTTTGCCTAATGCAATTACATCAGCTCTCATCTTGTCACCTTGAGGCATCCACTAACTCTGACAATGTTTGAGAGGTGTATTCGCAGCAATTTCTTTGAACAGCGTAATGCATGATGATACACACGTTGGATGTTTGGGAGGTTGTTAACATGTGGGGTTTCTATTCCCGCAGGCCCTGGAGCGATACACGATATGAACAACGCAGCCTTATCGCCAACCAGCTCATTCTTGCTTCTAACTCTGGTTTTAACTCTCTCGGTCCTCAGCAAGTTTTGATGCTAAAGCAGCGCGTCCGCTTCTCCATCCAAACACAGACTCACAGTCCCACACTCAGAGAAGGAGAGTACTTTATCGGTTCTTATCATCATCATCACCATTTAAATAGGGTTTTCCTTATGTTTTATTTCTGAAGGGAAGTGTCAGTGTGGGTTTATGGGTCTGTAGTAAGATGCTTTGGGATTTAACCGTGTTTTGAAACAGTGAACTGGACTGTGAATGGAGTCAGTTTGTTAGCTGGGTAGAAATAATAATAGAATCACTGTATGTGTCTCTCCAACCTTTTGTATGTGAAAAGAGAAGCAGAAATTCATGTAATTGTGAATAACTGAATGGTTTTTTGCTCAGTATTGAACAGTGTGAATTGAGGTTAATGGTGTGTCCTGTTTTCCTGTAAAATAACATGATTTTCTTTCTCTTTTTTTTAAAAATAATTGCTAAAAATGACAAACAGCAAAAAAGAGAAAGAAACAAAGAGATTTAAAAATGCTTCAGTGCGCCCAGAAAGTATTTGGACACTTAAGTCACACTTAAAAATTTATGAATGTCATTAAACCAAGTGGCATTTACAAGCAAATTATCCCTTTCTTATAAAACTAACTCCACTTTTCTTGCATTTCCATTATCCTCTTCTATCCTACATTTCTTTAAACTTGTTTTTTTTAGAGGATGTATGAAGTCTCGTGTTGTCCTCCAGTGTAGTTCAGCACATAAACTGTTCTATAATATAAAAAAAATTAACATTTTTTTTTAATATGTAATTTATTCATGTAGTGGCAAAGCTGAATTCCCAGCAGCCATTATTCAGTGAAAATAATAATTTATTTATATGATCCAATGTTTTGTTATCTAATGCAATTACACACTCTAATTTAGGCCCAAATGTCCAAATACTTTTTGGGGAGGCTGTATGTGATTATTTGATTTACTGTACATGTACAGATGTATGCAAATACTGTACACACACACACACACACACACACACACACACACACACACACGACCTATGTGTTCAATATAATATAGCACACAATTCCTATAAACATCTATCAATGCTCATCTGCCATTAATGGTGTTCAAATGATAAAGGAATCACAAAGATAACCTGCACGTGTACTTGTACTGAGCTGACATAGTTACAAGCAGTAGGATAGACTCCTTACCTGGTCGAATACGTTTTACGCTGCTCTTAGATATGTTTTTAGCGTAGACACAGACAGTATGCCCTAATGTAAGCTACACAAAATCTGTTCCTCATATAAAGACCCTTTAGGTTGATCATAAACGTACCAAATGGGACAGAGGAACATTTCCTCTATAAAGTCCAAAGGGTGATTTATCCACAGGTCAAATTTCATACAACCAAATAATATCAGTCATTTGTATATTTTGTTGTAAATCCCTTTCCAGATACATTTGCATTATTTAAAACGGATTGAATTTGCTTTGGATGACTCTACTGGAGTGTTTAAACTTCTTTCTCAGGTTTTTGGTGCTGAGTTTCTTTTAAGTGTGTATGATTTTGTATTCTTGAGTCTTTGACAGAAGCCAAAACTGTTATCGCAAATGATATAATTTAAAAGATGATATTTAATAACTTCTGAGGACAAAAAATAAAAATAAATCAATTCCAGTAAGAGACACATTTCGTTGCATATATCTGTGGGTGATAACCATCAATTTATCCGTGATCTTTAGCACTAATTTCCACACTAATATAATGTCATATAAATGTCAAATTGTGCATGTCTGAGCAGGTGACAGAAAATGGTAATCTCGGTTTCCATCTATTTCATATTCCATATCTTTCCTTTCATAAGTCTGCAGATTTAGCACTCGTTACTCCACGAAGGCCGACCCGTCAACACACTCGTGAATGATTTCGGATACCTACCAGAAACGTTCACTTATTAGAAGCTAGCAATGTACGAGAGCCTAAAAGAGCCAGTAAGGAAATACAGACAGTCAACCCACACGACTAACTCCACAGCGCTAATATGAGACCTTGTCCGTGAGCTGTCTGCATTCAGCTTCAGTGAGCGCTAAACAAACACACTGCAGACGAATGCTTCAAGTCCAAGGTTTGCCACATCATTGAGAAAATAGATTGTAAATGCCCTTTCAGTTGATTTCAAAGTGAGATTCCCTGCACTCCAATTAGAAGGATGCTGCTCTGTGACCGACTGAAGGGTTTTTGTGACTGACGTTAGCATGGCGGACTCTTGCAAAAGGTTTGCGTGCAATATCGCTCTCATGGATACCAGATCATGTCATGTGAACGCTGAGTTGAAATATGAATTGGACCTCATTGTGATCATGACATTCATGAGCTCTTAAGTTAAGTACGACACTGTTCTTAACCATGCAGTGTGTTAAAAATGCTGTATGTGAACAAAAAAACATATATATATATGCAAATGAATATTTATCCTGGATTTATTTGATTGTTAAATATAAGGACGGTGTAATTGCGGAGATCAACACACCTTTTCCTTGTTAGCGTTGTGCCTTGCGTGCATTCAAAAAAATATCATGTGGTAGTGCAATCGTATAGACTCGGTATCGGCCCTGGAAACTTCCGCTTGGGATGCATTTTTGTAAACAGCCGGCTTGGTTTTACTCATTTAATTGGGTTGTTTCAATGTTGCGGAAAAACGTAAAATCATCTTTTGATAAGTATCATTAAACATCGGTCTCTCAAATGTGTTTCGAGTGAAATTGCCCAATGATTTCTGGTGAGTTTTGTAACAGGTTAAAGTACATGAATAGGTTTTACTGTAGATTATTAGAGTATAATTTTGGTATGTTGGTTGACTTTTTAAAACGCTTATATCGTGACGGTGAAGACAGCGATGTCGTTTTAACTGCTGGGATGAATGCCACAACCTTATCAGTGATCAGCAGGAGTGTGTACATACAGTACAGTATCTGAAATGGCATTGCAAACCCATTTAAGTTACAAACAGAATGTAATTGTTTTTCTTTTTTTATTTATGTATTTATATATTGTCATCTGAAGGGAACAAAATGGCAAACATTCAATAATTAGCACTCTGGATTTTTGCTGACCTGATCATCGTTATTTTAAAACTGCTGCAAGTATAAATGGTACATCTAATCATAGCAACAGTGTTTCACCCAAAATCACTTGGCAAACAAATATTTTGCCCTCCCTTGCAAAACTGTATTGTATGTTTGTATTTATTTTTCTGACTGTCTCTATCTAGTTACGATTGTAAAGTGTATGATACCTTAACATTTGCAGCACACAGCTCTCTCAATGTGCATGTACAGCCGTAGTTGTATTTTTCTTTTTTTTACTATTGGAAAATGAGTACAAGACTGTTGTATGTGTTCTGTGTAATAAAGTTAAGAATATTTTCTTCTAGTTTGGAGTTGTTAGTTATCTAACGTACTGTCATGGAATCTTTGAAATATAGGGATGCACGATATATCGGCACCATATTGATATTATTTAATTGTGCATTCTCATTTCTCCTACATTTTTATTAGGTTACCCTTTATTTTTAAGGTGTCCTTGTTAAAGTGTAATTATACATTTTAGTGCTGAGTAATAATAACAACTAACATGTACTTACTATAGGGTTAGGGTCAGGAATAGGGTTACTGTTATTACTACAGTAAGTAAATGTAACATGTAACAAGGACACTAAAATAAAGTGTTATCTGATTACCTTTGTCATCTATTGCTCACTTAGTTCATATTTAAAAACACTTACAAATGTAGCAAATGAAATCCATTTTTCACATTGTACATTATAATATTGTTATGCCTAAATTCACTTGCAGCATGTAAAATTATTGAGTTTAGATTGTTAGTGTTTTAATATAGTTATAAAATAGTATTGAATTTTAGCATTGGCATTTGTATTGCTTTATCAGCAATAACATGAAAATAAATATTGATTTAGATCAGCATTTGTAAGTCAAAATTTAAATATCACTCCATCCCTACTTTTAATAGAGTGCAAAAGCTGGGTTCTGGAAAACCTCCATGCAATTTATACATAGGGGTAATGACTTTTAACGATAACTTATAAACCTTTAAAAAGACAGATCTACTGTGAGCTATGAGGTTGTTAATCAAAAATTGCTTGCTTCTGTTGAAGCCATCAGCCCTTATTTATATTTTTAAAATAATCGTTCCACAGCAGAAAACTACATTACCCATGATGCTGTGCAGGAAATTCCACCAATCAGAGAATTGAAAGAATGTAAGCTCTGACGTAATTGAGTCGGTCTCCATACACTCTCAAAATACTTAAATATTTCAATAAAAATGCATATACAATGCTTTATGGGATTGTTTCTTTCTATCACTAAAGCTGATAAGTACACAATCTTTGTAGTTTTGTCTGATTTTTAATACTTTTTTGCTTCAAATCAAAGTTTGTAATGTTATGATTCACCTTGTAGCCAGTTGCCTTGGTTCATGGCTTATACCGCTTTTTTTTTAAATTCCTATGAGAGAAATGAATGGACAAAATACTTACGGAACAAAGTGGTTTTGTTCCAAACATTGTTGCACACTATAAAGGTCGAAGAGGTCATAATATATTGTGTATATATTCACGATTTACCGATACAGCACAACCTTGAGTGTCTAATTGCTTTTTTTTATTTATTAAGGACACATATTTTCATTTAAACTTGATTTTATTAAATGCTATCCCTGTCTGGAAGACCCAGCTGCTGAAAAGTGAGCTCTGTTGGGCAGTGATTTAGTTGACTTAATCCAGCAGCAGCAAAATTATTATTGAAGTCTAATCCGAATGTAAAAAGTCATTTATTAACCGTTGTACCCTAACTCATGTGGTTCAATATTCCACAGAGCACATTTAACAAGTTTCCCAGTGTTGACATGCTGCATGTTTTATAAAGACAGTTTACCTCGCACATCTCTCCCCACACTGGCCCTGCTCTATTGACGATACGCTCACGGTTTGGCTGCCATCCTAAAGATAATGCAGCCAAGAAATGTCATGTCAAGTTAATGTGGTCTGTAGAAATGCTTATTTATTCACATATTTGTCTTTCCAAATAAGCAGCTCTCATGGCATGTTCCGGAGGGGCGCTCCTGGGCACTCAGATAAAGACGTCCACCAGGAGTACAGAAGGCAGAAACTTAGCAGGCTTTTGTTTGCTTCAAGGGATGTGATTGTACCTTCACCTCCAAGCATAAAAGGTGATCATTCCCGGGCTTCCATCTTTTGTTTTCATGTCGAACATTGATAGCTTGTAGACAAAGGATTGGCAAGAAATCGTCAAGTTACATAACATTTTTCTCACCTCCTCTACCCCCGTTTTAAAACTCGATGAATATTCAATTTCAACATCTGCCGTTTGTTTGTCGAAAGCCAAATTCTACTTGTGACATCTTCCCACCATTTTTCTTGAAATGCAAGTTAATTCTTCGTATATCCATATCTACATTCTCATGAATTATGGTCATTTCTGTATAGGCACATACATTAAAGTATTGTTAAAAACAGTTTCATTGTTAAAAAAATAATAATTTTTATGACAACATGTCCCAAGAGCAGAGAATGTCTTCACATTATATGGGGTAAGTTGTCACAATGGGAACCTGCCATTTAATAACCTCCTCTTATAGACACTGCAATGTATTTTCAGCCAAATATAAATAATAAAACTATTATGAAACAACAAATTTGAAATAGCGGTAACGCTTCCTTTTACAGTACAGTACTTACAGTGTACTTACCTAGAAAGTACTGGCTAATATAAGGTAAGTACATGGGTTAGGGGTAGGTTCAGGGTTAGTACCTAGTTATTACCCAGTAATTATAATTACTATAATAAGTACATGGGTAACAGGACTGTAAAAGGAAGCGTTACCGAAATAGCTACAATCTATCAAACCATATAATATGTAGGTTACATACACATATGTATGTATATATATATTTTGTACATAACTATCTTCAACATTGATAATAATAACATTGATAATAATAATAATAATAAATGTTTCTTGAGCAGTAAATCAGCATATTAGAATGATTTCTGAAGGATCATGTGACACTGAAGACTGGAGTAATGATGCTGAAAATTCAGCTTTGCATCACAGCAATAAATTACATTTTAAAATATATTCATTTAGAAAACAGTTATTTTAAATTGTAATACTATTTCACGATATTACTGTTTTTTTTTTATTGTTAATCAAATAAATGCAGCCTTGGTGACCATAAGAGACTTTTGAAAGGCAGTGTATACACACACACACAACAAACAAACAAACAAACAAACAAACAAACAAACAAACCCTTGTCCTTAGAACACATTTTTCATTTGAAATTCTTCATAGTTACTCACAGTAGAAACTCTTGTGATAACTAGCCCCGGTCTCTCCTAAATAAAAACTCAATGCATTCATCCATCCAGCTTCATATTTGTGTCCGTCATTCTCTTTCAGATATGTAAAGCTGATCCGGCTGTTTACCCACATTTTCAGCTGTCTCTCAGCGCCATGCTAATAGTCTTCCATACTGCAGTGTTTGTCACCTGGTGCCTCTCTAACAAGCAGCAGCGAGCGACACTACAGACAGTCATTCACAATGAACAATCAAGCAAGGAAAAAAAGAAAGAAAGATGGAAATGTGAGTCTTTAATTAAGAGTCTTCACCGAAGCCTTTCTTAAATTCAATTAGAGACAGCTCTCGCGTCACTTTCAGAATGGATCTCACAGCTTCATTCTCAACCTCAGCACTTAGAGCTCATGTGCATCATCACTCCCACAGACTGTCTGTCAAATCCCTTTAAAACACTTACACTACTGACACCTCCTTCCTTAACCAGGACACAAGTGCAGGATCGAGACGGTGCTTAAGTGCTCTCCGAATCTGGGCTTTGAATTATTGATTTGGAATCAGCCTGCCGTGGTGTGGATTTGCTTTAGTTTCAACCAGTTTTCATTTTTTCAAGTGGATAAACAAGTGAACATATAGGACATACGTTTAGGCAAGAATCAGAAATATTCATACACTGACTACCGTTCAAAAGTTTGGGGTCGGTAAGATTTTTAACGTCTTATGCTCACCAAGGCTGCATTTATCAAAAATACAGTCAATTATGGAATGATTTCTGAAGGATCATGTGACAGTGAAGACTGGAGTAATGATGCTAAAAAATCAGCTTTGATCACAGGAACAATATTAAAGTTTAAAATAACTGTTTTCTATTTTCTGAGATCAAAGCTGAATTTTGAGCATCATTACTCCAGTCGTCAGTGTCATATGATCCTCCAGAAATCATTTTAATATGATGATTTGGTGCTCAAGAATTGTCAGTGTTGAGTTGTGCTGCTTAACATTTGTGTGGAAACAGTGATTTTCTTTTTTTTACCGTCACATTTATTCATTTTAATGCTGAATATAAGTATTCTTTTTTCTTTTTTTTTACAAAAAAACATTGACCCCAAATTTTTTAATGGTAGTGTATAGGCCTACAAATAAAATGTTTTCTTAAATATAGAGAGAGATGACATATATGTGATTCTTTAAGAAGCACAATTAGACTGCAGACCAATTCTATTTAGATACAACATTTTATTATTGTAAGTCTTAAATATGAACACACCATCGCCATTAAAGGAAAAACATATGACGAAACAATTTCTTTACAGTACAAGGAGTTAAAATACTTAATTTGTTCCTCTCTAGGGAACCATAGAGATCAGCGGAACAAAGTGAACTTATCCAGGCTGGTTGTTTTAATGGTTAAAAAAAAAAAAGTCAATTCTTTGCACCAAGTTGGACATATGAATTGCATTACAGCCATGCACAGACAAGCCCTGTGTTTCTGTTAATACAGTGCATTGATCCAAACGTTGTCTTCCCCAGAGGAAATCACAGACATTATTTATCAGGAGGTGCTTTCAAATTTAAATAGTTGTTAGGTTAGTCTCACTAATCTGTTTATATAAGAAATATGTTGACTGTTCTTAGTCTGGTTGTGTTCCCTATATCTTAAAAAAAAAAAAAGATAAAATGAAAATTGAAATCATAATATTGAATAATAATAATACACCTTTAGGGCAAGAACACACACTGTCACCCATTAAACTTTGCACATTCATGACATTCCCTTTCATTAACATACACCTTGTGCTTAAAATCCACTGATTTGTATCTGATATGTGGTTTTAAAAATATGATATTTAAAGGGATAATTCATCCAAAAATGTAAACTGTCATCCTTTACTCATTCCAAACCTGCATCATTTCCATAAATCGCTAAATAATGTCTAGACTACAACGAAAGTGAATGAGGACAGATGCTTTTGAGCTCCAAAAATGAAAAGAAAAAGAAAAATTCATAAAAATGGTTTCAAGTCATCTGAGGACAAATGATAGCTTAATTTGCAGAACAACATTTAAGTTGTTAGTGGCTAAATAAGGAATAGTTATGATTGGTCAATATCAGAATTTTTATTGTTTTATTTGAGGGTGAATTAATGATGACAATTTTCATCTTTGGCTGAACTATTCCTTTAACCAGATTGGAGATCAAATGAAAACATTAGGCATAAATCCTATCAAACATTCCAACAAAAGAGAAGAAAATCTTATTCAATCAACCCCTTAATACTGCGATGGTAAGTTTCAGAAACTATTCAAATCAAATCTCACTTTTTTTCTTTTTCCCCCTCCAGAATGTGAATGGTAACAGGACATCTGCTCATGATGAAATGATGACGGACAAATGAGTCTCATCTGCTTTTTACAAAAGCACAATATTTAGACATCAGGTTTCACAATGAGCTTGTATCTACTATAATACCCTTTGAGAAATAAATTACACAGCTTCTGAAAAAGGGAATAACAAAAAAATAGAAAACGTTGCATTGTATTAAACAGGTTCACAATTTTAGTAAAAACAAGTGTGCATATTTTCCCTTTGTACAAGTTAGATATATGCATATACACACAGAGAAGTTAGCAGGAACGATTACGAGACGTGTTTAAATAAAGAGCATTTAAGCGCCCGGTTTGGTTTGTACAACTCAAAATCTGGACGAAATTCAACAAAAAGCCATTTGAAAAAAAACTGCCATTGTAATAAAAATAACATTTGATGTCAAGTTTGTCTGGAAAAACAACATTACACCTAAAAATCGACAGGTATTAGCAGATTGCTCTTTGGGCTCTCATAATGGATCCAATAACTTGGAGTTACACAAAGCTCCAAATGTAACATTTTTCAACCTTGATTCATACATGTCATCCCATATATACTAACATTACTCCAACATCTGATTTATTCCTTTGTGGTGTAAACAAAGAGAATTATAGAGCTTTTGGTTCTGCATAGTCCAACTGTGCCATTCTGGTCGTCAAAACATAATCAAAATAAAACATATATCGCATTGTTTTCGGTTGTGAGTGTTAAATGCTAAAATGCAGATTAGAAGTTCTCAAAACGAAACATGATGTGATTATTACAGAGCAAAAACGTGTGTTTGTGTCTTTTTTGCTGCTTATTTTGATTTTGCTGTATAGTAAAAACATAGTGACAATTCAAAATAAAAAATGAGAGATATGCCCTTTCTTATCGCATGCCTTTGACTTGAATTATTCCCCTATCACACTGTATTCTATATGAATTCTTAAGAAGTTACAGAGTTAAATTAAAATGACAGTCACAAAAATAAATACAATTTAATATTTCAAATTAGACATGCCTCTCTGTCTTTTGCTTTTACGGAATACAAAACTGTATTCGCTTGGGGCAAAACAGTGTGATGATTAGCAATGTAAGAGAAGTTACATTATTAAACTCTATTATAAACCAAAGAAATGCATGATTACTTCATTAAAAGAAAGTACTTGGGTACCCCATGCACATTTCCAGGCATTTTTGGTAACCCATGCACGATTTGTGACTCCAGGATGAGAGCGATGTCACACAAACAGTGATTTTTTCTCCACTGAAAACATCTTCGGCATCAAAACTTGAGCAAGAGATGTAGAAGTACGATGAGAAGTAGACAGGTGGGTGTGAAGACCGTAGACGTGCCGCTGTTTCCATCCTGAACTGCTCCGGGTCCTAAAGCATTGAAAAGAGTCACACGTGTCAGGAAAAACAGCTCCGGTCTCCAACTGTGCTGTAAACTGCCTCGCTTTTATTCTTGAGACTGTCTGTAACGTCGCTGAACTCTCACCTACGCATCTGCACTTCTGATTCTATCTTACTTCCTCAATATTATCTTTTCTTATTTCCGAAAGGTGTCAGCTGTCAGCATTTTCTAGGTTTACTGCACTAAACCGTTATTTTCTAGTCAAGCGACTCTTGTTCAAATCTATGTTAGTATATTATAGCAACTCCTCTTTGTTGATGAGTTTGTAGTGATTAGTAGTCCAGTACTGTATTTAGTAGCTTGTGTATCACAAACCTTGCAACAAATCATTGTTTTCAAAGGCTGTGTGCTCTAAATCGGATGAAGTCATTTCTAAAACAGAAGCCGTCTCCACTAAAAGAAAGATGACATAAAACACTTTATAGGAATACAGAACATACAATATGATTAAGTAAATCATTTCCATTGGTGCTATTAGGCAATTATTTTAGTCCAAGTGAGATGTTTTTGCCTACAAATATTCATCAAGTCAAACTAGAGTATTCTGGCGTGGTTGTGCTGTGGTGCCGGGTCATCTAACTGGGACGAAAGCGCTCCAGGTTGGCAGATGAACATCTAAGCGAGGGTCTTTAGTGGTTACATTTGTATAGTAGGAACATCTGTTCTCCTCATTTCAAACCAGTACATCTTGTCTCCCTGCGCTCACAGAGTTATTACCCTTTATTGACCAGTCAACCACTGAGGTCAGCCGTACTTGCGGTCGCTTATAAACAAACTAATCACTGAAGGCGCAGTTTAACCAGATTACTAAGGGCAGATGAGTAAAACAAGTGCACGGACAACTGTGTGATTGTCTTAGTATAAAAAAGGGAAGGAGAAAGAATGACTGAACTGCGCTGGTCTGATTAAAAACTATTGCACTCGTATTCTGAGATGATAAAATATTCACATACAGTCATGATCAAAAGTTTACATACACCTTGTAGAATCTGTAAAATGTTCATTATTTTGACAAAATAAGAGGGATCATACAAAATGCATGTTGTTTTTTATTTAGTACTGTCCTGAATAATATATTTTACATGAAATATGTTTACATGTCCACAAGAAAAAAAAAAAAAGCTGAATTTATAAAAAGGGCCCCATTCAAAAGTTTACATGCCCTTGATTCTTAATACTGTGTTTGTGTATTCTGTGATAGTTGTTCATGAGTCCCTTGTTTGTCCTGAGCAGTTAAACTGCCCAATGTTCTTCAGAAAAATCCTGCTGGAAAGGGTTCAAATACGCAAAAGATGCTGGAAAACTGAAGAATTTGCAGGACCTGAAGGATTTTTCTGAAGAACATTGGGCAGTTTAAAACAAACAAACACAAAACAAACAAACAAAACCAGGTCATCCAGGTAACAACACACAGTATTAGGAATTAAGGGTATGTAAACTTTAGAACGGGGTAGTTTTTATAAACTCAGCTTTTTTTTTTGTCTTGTGGACTACATGTAAACATATTTCATGTAAAATATCTTATTCAGGACAGTACTAAATAAAAAATAACAAGCATTTTGTATGATCCCTCTTATTTTGTTAAAATAATTAACATTTTGCAGATTCTGCAAGGTGTGTGTAAACTTTTGATCATGACTGTAATCATGCCAACAGATTGATCAGTAAAAATCAAAAGTTATAGGGGTGAATCTCATGAAACCTGTCAAGAACTTGTCTGGATCATATTTCATCATAATAAAATCAAAAGATCTTTTTTTTTTAATATAAAATTAAGCAAACAATACATTTTTAAAATAAATATTATTATTTTTGTTAATAACCATTCAAAAGTCTGTGGTCAGTAAGATTTGGGGGGGAAATGAAATTAACACTTTGATTCTGCAAGTATGTATTAAATTGATCAAAAGACTTTCACATTGTTACAAATATATATATATATATATAAATTAACTGCTGTTCTTTTTAAATTTACAATCATCAGAGAATCCAGGAAAAAAGGATTCCACAATAGTTAAGCAGCACAACAGTTTTCAACATTGATAATAATACACGTTACTCGACTAGCAAATCAGCATATTAGAATGATTTCAAAAAGGATCATGTGACACTGAAAGACTGGAGAAATGGCTGCTAAAAATTCAACTTTTACACCATTGGAATACATTACATATATTAAAGCAAACTTTTTACATTATATATTACAGTTGTTGTTGTGTTTTTTATTAAGTAAATGCAGCCTTGGTGAGAAAACATTAAAAACATTAAAAAAGCATACCAACCCCAAACTGTTGAACAGTAGTATATAGATCTCAATGGTTTGAAAACAGGCTTGATTTTATGGTATAATCTGACCTGGATTAATATGGTTATGTGAGATTCAGCTCTGTATAACGGTTTAGCAGGAGACGTGTTGCTAGTTCTAGTCTTTGGTTTGTTAGCTTGTCATCAGGGTAAGTTTTAGTCTTAGGGACAGTCAAACATATGGTAACAACGACTAACGTGCAAAACATACTGTTTCTGACCTCCAGTTTCCATCTTTAAACATGTTCAGTGTTGAAATGTACTGTATGTGTGTATATTTATATTTAGGGGCTGCACCGACTAGTCAACTACTCAGACGTCAGCTGCATTTGCTCAATAGAGTGCAACAGTCAAGTTCCACAGGTAAAAAATCCCATTCATTTTCTCCATAGGGAGATTATTATTATTTTTCATTTAAACCATTCAAGCCAGACCTACCAATCACTCCATGGTTGTTAAGTGATGAAATATGTATCAGTGAAGGCAAACACAGCAGTGTGATTCAGCTTCATTTAAAAACATAATAATAATATTAATAAAATCATGCTTTATAGGCAATTTCCCAATGAAGAACTATATTACTCACAATCCTCCTTGGATCTAACCATAAGAAAGTATGGTTACCATGGAAATTAGATCCATGGCAAAAGATCTCATTAATAACCACCCACTTCCATGAAGCATTGCGAATGACTTAATGACTACACTCAAAAAAGTATTTATTGAAAAAAGTACATAGAATTTTATACTTAAAACTATTGAAATATATGTAAGAATTTTCATGTATGTAATCACTTTTTTACTGCCAATGTGTGAACATCTTGTAACGAAACTTAATAAACAAGAGATTCCCAGACCTCCTAGGTTGTCTATGAAAGACTGAATTTTTAGTGAAGGATTTGGGTTTTTGCAGATGTCAATGTTTCATGCAAAGAAATTGTATTAATTCAACCTATAGTCAGAGCATTCCCAGTAGTCAGTCAAGAGAATGACTGGGATGAACACTTCCGGAACCAAGACCACTGAAAAAAATTGGCAGTCACAGACTGTAACTTCATGTGCAAATTATGCACATAAAATAATGTTTCAAGTATTGTCTACCATGGTAATCCTACACACATTGCGCTGAACACTTTCCAGAAGCTGTGTGAGGTGGAGATACTCCACACATCATCTCAGCGCCATGGGATATATTCCTGTTATTGAATGTCTACACAGCATAGACATTGCACATCACACAGTGTAGACAGTGGCGGATTTAGCAAATTGGGGGCCCAAGGCGAGGTTAGTATGGGTTCCCCCATCCGATCTTTAAAAGAGAACGAAAAAAGTAATAATTTTTTTTTTGAAAAATAAACCATTAAATGGCACTTTCTGGAGAGTTTTGTGCAAAGAAATATAGAAAAAAGTAGGTCTAGCAAGTCTTATATTTCTGTAATTCACACAGATCAAAACACAAATATGCTGACTGAATAGATTGCTAGTTGAGAAACACTGCTTTAATTAATGTTTTTATGATGACTTTGTGAAAGGGTAACTAAACAGCATGAGCCGTCTTCTTTTTTTTTATTAATGCCGACAGTAAAATGTTGGCAGATATTGCTACGAAAAACAAGAAAAACAAAACAAATTACCGGTAATAATAACGTTATCATTGTTGTCATTGTCAGCGGGCATCACAAAAAAGTTTGTTACCTTCTGCAATTTTGCTAAAAACGTTTTGCTTTCCTCCCGCTTCCTGCGTTTTCAGCACCGCTTGGGTAGCTTTGCTTCATTTTTACTCTATCTACTACTCTGTACACTCTGTCTGTCACTCTGTACACTGTCTGTTAATCACTTCTTTTTCTCCGTCAGTTTTTTTGGCGCATTACAGCCTTGTCACTTTCGCACGCAGAAAGTGAGATAATGGAATAGTCCAATGTAGTGAGGTGAGGTGGGGGGGGCCCCTTCTGTCTGCGACACTAATGATTTGATGCCTTTTTTCGCAAATGTTTTTTTAGAAATATATAATTTGCGGAAAAAAAACACACAAAAAAACAACTTAAGCATAATTTAATGGGGCATTTTAGGGGCCCCTAGGTAGCTCGGGGCCCAAGGCAATTGCCGACCTTTGCCTAATGGTTAAGTCCGCCCCTGAGTGTAGAAAACTTGACTTATTCAAATAAAAGACATCTATGTTGTTTCTACGGTGTAGATATGGTGTTAGCCAGGATAGATTTGGACTCGCTGATTGCATGTGGCTGATTGCTATTGTACATAATGCACAACACAACTGACTAGTTCTGGCCAACAAGTCAATTAAAAAAAAGTAGTCAGGGGGAAAACATATGAGATGAGAGGAAAAGTTATATTTCAATGCTTTTGCGTTAGCTCGCAAAGAACTCAAAAGTTTTGCGAGTGAACGCAAAGTTTCTCGCAGGAACGCAAAAGCTGGTAATGCTACAGGTATGTCAATGCTGCAAAAGCTATATTATTTTTCCTCCCATGTTATTTTTTTTAACCATCACCATGTTCCTCTAGGAGCGCTGTAGATTTCTTTCCCTTTTTTGTTTCACGTTTGGTGTGAAAGATCAGAGAGCACTAATATCCAGTCCCAACAAAACAATCGTTGTGTCATGGCATTAGTATGGCTGTCTATTAAATCCTTCTCTTTGATGGGCCGTTTAGACTGAAGTCTAATTTCCCCTGGATTTAGGGGAAGTACGGTACTTTCTTTAGGGACAGCTATCCAATTATTCTGCAGCCACAGCTTAGAGTAAATCCTGCACAAGTGTAATTATACTAATGTGAGGTTCTCACAATCAAATTCAATGCAATTAATGAATCTCCGGAGAGGACATGGTTACCAATCCCACGCTTTTTTTTTTTTAGGTCAGACAGTGGAGAAAAGTTGGCCAGGACAAGATTTCTATTCTTGGCAGAGAAGAAAGAATAAAGGACAATACAAGGACAAATCAGTAACAACCATCAACAACATATGCAGGCGAGGAAAGACCCCTTACAAAAAAAGTAGGAAAGACCAGAGTCAAATATAACACACTAGATGTCTTCAATCACAAACAATTTCGAGTGATATTTATTCAGCATATGCTCAGTAAAGACTCTCAATGCCACAGAAATGAGCAATAGTTTGACAGAAAAATACAAATATGTTGAGGTTTTAGAGGAGTTTTTATAATTATTTTATTGACAGACTGTAAGTTAATACATGCAAATATTTTGCTCATTTTCACATTTTATCCCAACTATGCAATCGAGTAAACCTTCTTATGAAAACCTGTCTGACTGAATTAAAAGGTTTAAAATCTTTTAATCTTTAAAAAATTTAATGAACATTGTTTCTGTCTGGGTGAAGGTTGTTCTTGAATTGGCAGATAAGAAGTATATTTTAGTAAAAAAAATATCTCAAATAATGTAGCTCTCACTTTGACTGTTGCTTTAATCATATTATCCAACATACAATATGCAACAAACTATTCAAAAACTATATTAAGTATTAAATCAATGGCACATTTAGATTTATTGGTTTATCTCAATGTGTGTTGTTATAACTGCAATTTTAACATAAAATCAATATGATAATTCTCAACTTAAGTGAATTAATGGTAGTATTACTGTTGACACATTCATAGTTTTTATACCAAAAGACAGAACAATTTTAGTAGTCTGAGAAAAATAAATAAATAAATAAATAAATAAATAACTTGCCACGTGGTTTCTCCTATTGTGGCAGTACCATGGTATATTGAGTTGTTATATATGGTACTGTATGATTTATGTGTCATAAACCATTGTGTATTAACGTGGTTATTATGACCAGGTAAGTCCATAACACTTTTTGTAAGGGGCAAATGTACATTTAAAGGAATAGTTCACCCAAAAAATAAAGATTCTGTCATCATTTCACCCTCACCTCGTTCCAAACCTACGGTATATGACTTTCTTTCTTCTGTGATAATACACTGGTCGTTCTTTTCCATGCTACTATAATGAACATGGACTGAAGCTTCAGGTTTCAAAAAGAATGCAAAAGTACCATAAAAGTATCATGGTGCATGTGTTCTGAAATCAAACGATAGATCTGCGTGAGAAACAGACTGAAACTGAACTGATAATATTCACCTCCAGTGAGCAGTTAACCGACCATTGTGTCACTGAGTTCATCTTGAGGACCGAATCAGTCCAATTCAAATGTATCATTCAGGCTGATTTGGTGGATCGAATCCACTGAAAATCAAACTCAAAAGAATGATTCTTTCATGATCTGGGCATTACTAATGCTCTCAAACTATGGTTTGACTTCAGAAGTCCTGGACAACAGCACTTTTATGATATTGTCATGGTGGTTTGCATCCTTTTTGAAGCTTGAAAGCTCCAGTCCCTGCCCATTGTAATTGCATGGGCTAGAGAACGGCATTTCATTTTATTTTCCTGTTCTGTGGAACAAAGTATGAGTGCAAGTAAATGATGACCATTTTCCTTTAAGTACATTTCTCATCAACTGAGTAATAATGAAGCACTCACAATTCCACAAACATCAAAAGACATCATATGATGCAAACATGTACTTACAAACGGCGGATGAGAGCATGCATTGACATAATGAAGCCATGCCATGGTGGAGGAAGGTTAGACAGGAAAGAAAGTGAAACAAGAGAAAGAGAAACATGTTTAGGCTACAGAAAACAGAGACTCATTCATCAACCCACAGTGACTGAAAGCAGAATGAGGCATGTCAGTACCCCGCCAATCCCAGAGCGGCAATTGAGACTGTCACTCAATGTGCTGAATATATTATTGACATTACAAAATGGGATTTTAAGCTAATAACCCCTTAATAGGAATAGCTAGTGGCCAATTTAAAATCGGACAATCACATTCTGTCAGACGAGGCACGACAATTATATTACCCTGTTCAAATCAGGGAAAATATGTGCGTCAACCTCGCCGATAAACTTGAGTGCCATATCAACAACTTGGCTTCGTCACATTGCGGTTGATGTGAAAATAACCATGTTTGCATCTTCTTTGTGTATTAAACGCACTGTAACATGCTTTAGGAGGTGATCAGGACGCCACATTCCCATGCACACTACTAACCTTGCAATAGCGTTGAACTAGTGGGTTCAATTATTTCTACATCAACAAAAACATAGATAAAAACATGTATCAAAAGCAAATGAAGGAGAATCCTGAGATGGAAATCTCAAAGATTAATAGTCGCACATAGAGTTGTCAAAAAGTACCGATTTCGGTACCAAGTTGGTACTGAAATTTAAAAATGTGACGATACCAGCATTTTCCTCTAGCAATTTGAGCGCTGTTGACCGGATTCTTAAACACCTCTGATTGGCCATTGTGTTCACACGCTCAAAATATATGTCTCTGATTGGCCATTGTATATGTTTGTGACCATAAATGTCTGTTATTGGCTACAATGATCAACAATATACGTATATTGTGAGCGTGTCAACACAATGGCCAATCAGAGGCGTTTAAGAATCCGCTCAACAGCGCTCAAAATGCTAGAGGGAAATGCTGGTATCACATTTGTAAAATTTCAGTACCGACTTTTGACAAGTCTAGTTGCACGGGTCAGAAACTACCAAGTGTAAATTCATATTGTTTACAGGAACGTTATCAGCTGGAACTTTCGTTTAGCTTTTTTGAACAATAGTTTAAGCAAAAAATGAAACATAACTATCTTCCGAACCACCGTTTGTACATTAAAGTAATCGAAGAATTGTGAAGAGGCTCCAAACCGTTTTAAAACTTGATTAAAACCATCAACTACCGATACTTACCGTATAGGACGATGCTGGTGTTAGCGCTCCCAAGTTTGTTGACAGCGACGCAGGAGTAATTGCCATAGTCTGCCTCGGACACGTTGAAGAAAGTCAGCTTTGAAAGTGCTCCGTCATTCTCGATCTCAATGCCATCAAAGCCATTGAAGATCCTGGGAAACAGTCAGCAAATGGGGAGACTTGAATCAGCCCGGCCTTGTTTACGCTACATCAGAGCCTCCTTTGAAGCTTGAGGTTACATTTATGACAACATCAACGTTTTCGGACGCAGATTGCGTCGGGCCTGGATACATTCAAAGGAGGCAGAACTGCAGGATTGAATTACTGGCAGCGGCATGCAGAGGGACATGCACACTCTCTCTTATGCACATTTAATTATGATACAACATTGTGACAACTTATTCTTCACTTGACATCAAAGACAGTTTGAGAGAACCAACTGAGACACATCCAGCCAAAGGCACTCAAATGTGAAGTATTTTCCCGTTGAAAACAGTGAATTTATGACAGCACATCTAGTCAGACATGTACAGCTACTGAAATACATTTGTCCTTCACCTCTTAGTGTCACTATCAATATTATAAATCTGACAGACATAGTGTACAGGAAATACAATAAACTCTAGTAACTAGCTGTTACTGTACATATCAGCTGTAGTAAAAAAACGGGGGCCCAATCTATATTAGGTGTCTTTAACTACTATGTACTTACATCAAACAACTTTTGGGTACAATGTACTTATTGTATTGAAAAGGTGTAAGGAAAGGGTTAACATTATAATAATTGTATATATATTGTTTATATAATTATAGATGTGACTACAGAAATTAATTTCAGATGTAATTACATGCAGGTATTTTTTTTAAATATAAGTGCAATGTGTAGGTCAAGACATTTAGTGGGATCGAAATTCAGTTTTGTTATTGTAACCATGATTCCATAAACTTGTAGGTTACGGGTTTATCCTAAAGAAAGGAACAGATGAAGCAGAATATCCTGAAGTGATATGCCATACCTCCTGTCATCTCTGTACCACTCAAAATCTGCCTCGGGTACAGCATCTGCCTCACAAAGCAGGACACCTCTCTGACCCAGGGTCACGCCAACATCTCTGCCATCTGAAATACTGGGAGGGACTAGACACACAAAACCACAAGAAAGTTAGTGAACTTGAGATTAACAAGATTATTTACTGACAAGGCAATTACTTAAATAAATAAAGTACATTCAGAAGTCGTAGAACAAGTTATGATCTGCATAGAGTTCACTGTGTGAATAAAAAAATACATCCTTTTCTTATTAAAGTTACACAAGTAATTCAGTCAAAAGCAGTGAGAGATTTTCTATCTTTTGTTGTTGGATTAACATAATGACAGATGGCAGCAGGTTTATTAGGCTGCTGTCACTTTAAGACTGAACGCAAGGATCCAATATACTGATATATTTTCTTTCTCTACTTTTTTATGTTCACTTAATTCATAAATTAATATGATTACAAGGATACTCGCAAAGACAGTCAACAACGCATAAGTAGGTATAACCATTCAGGCCCAATAAGGTGGCAAAAATAACTCGTGTTATTTAATAAATCGTGTCTACCGGTATATCGCCCACGCAAGATGTTTTTAGTTTGCATTTCAAGACATTTCATTACAAACTATATTATCATTTTATATTTATTTAATAAAATCCTAAAAGTTTCTGTTTATTTATAGGATTAAATAAATCAACAAATCAATCAATTCATTAAGTCTTTTGGGCATATGTTGTATGCTGCATGTATGTTGCATACGTGTAGAATATGTTGATATAAATTCATGAGACACTTACAATTGACTGTGAGCTCAACAGTCTGTGTGTCCACTGCAATGTCGTTCGCTGCGGTGCATTCGTACACTCCTGCTCTATATCTGCTGATGAAGGGAATCTCCAGAACCTCATTGTCTGAGCTTAGGCTGTCATCTAAACAAGAAAAATTTCAAATATGATGTTATGATCAGGGATGCAAACTCATCATGGGTGAAAAAGAGAGAGAGAGAGAGAGAGAGAGAGAGAGAGAGAGAGAGAGAGAGAGAGAGAGAGAGAGAGAGAGAGAGAGAGAGAGAGAGAGAGAGAGAGAGAGAGAGAGAGAGAGAGAGAGAGAGAGAGAGAGATTTAGCTTATTTCCCCTTATTCTCTCATTCTGAAATGGAACCATTACACATTCAATTCACATACTGTAGTTAAAGTAAATCACAAACATTGCCACCAGGGTTTGGAAGAACTTTTACTTACAAGCCAATTTGGCTACTAGACTTTTCAGTCACACTGCTGCCTTACATTTTTAAGTACAATCAACTTGGCTGTGTGGGTCATGAAAAATGGATCACAACTTACATTACATTAAACTGACTTAAAAAGAATAATTGAATCTTGTATAATTTAAAAGCTTAAAAATGGCCTAACTTATTTCTAATTTATTTTGATGAGTTGAAGTAATGTTAAAACCAATGTTTTCATGTCATTTTTTTGTATGTGTACCGGCAATTCAGAACTTTTACTAGCCATATCAAAGTCACAGTTTATATATAAAGTTATTTATTGACAGGCATCCTTCTATGCACTAAAAATACAATTTAGGTGGACAAATAAATTCAAAGAAAATCAAACACCACCTGAACCAAACAAACCTGTCGTCTCATAAAAAGGACAAATAGACAGGATAGAAAAATTAGCAGATGTGCTTCTTCGTTGCTAGGTGGTTCTTTTTTTTACACTGGGATTACCCCACATTATTATGTTTCTTGGGTCTGCGCTATTCCCTTCAAAGCAAACACACCAGCGCACCTTTATTTGTTGCTTAGGGACGTTGTGTCGAAGTAAGCCAGAAATGCGCAAGTGCTGCGCAATTCGACTATAATTATTATTCACATTGACTCATGAGAGTTCAGTATGTTCGCTAAATCTGCGCATATTAAATCATTTATCCAGCAAATTGAGTCAATATAACTTGTGAAATATTACCCGCCAAATTTCCTTGTGATTTGACATCGTTACCCTCCACATTTTACCCACATTTGCCGCTGTATGTTCATCTCAAACCCTGTGATATTATGAAACAAGCAAACTGCAAAAACCAGTAAAAGTGTAAAAGTAAACTGTTTAATTACGCTGTGGTTATGACAGTATAGTATAGTAGACCTCAACTAAAGTTGTATTCGTTGGCAAAATGGTAGGCTATTTTTTTTTTCAAAAACTCATCGGATCTAGACGAATCACAATAATTACCTATATTGGATTCAAAACGGCGAATTTCGCCGAAAGGTGACAAGTTTGCATCCCTGTATGATCTGTGGTATAATCTTATTAAAGCTCTCAAAAAAAAAAGAGAAGGGTTGTCCAGCTTTACTCATGTTTTCTTAAAAGACAACTACAACAAAAACTAATGACTGTGGTTGGAGTGTTAATACTGGAACAACAAAGTGTTACTTGGCAAAGTCACATCACATTGCATGCGTCTCATTTTCACTGAAGAGCTGGAATATTTCTCATTTTTTAAGTATTGTCACATCCATACTTTTCTTGGGTACAATATGCCACACTGTAGAGCATGTTGATGCCCTTCTATGCAAATTCAAACCTCATCTTCCCTGAAATACTGATGCTCTGATGTATTTATAGTCATTTGTGTCCTGTTGTGGGAGAGAAGACACCAGAGATATGAAATTCGATTCAAATACGAATCTCTGTCTCTGTGCAGCTGCTTTGAAGTGTTCACATACACACTGGAGTCAAACTGCTAAAAACACACGCCACCTTTTCATGTTCATGAAATCCAGACTGGGGAAAAAAACGCTAGTGGAAAGGGATCCTTGCGATGCAGTTCTCAACGTCAAACAGTAATATGTGGTTGGCTTAAATAAATAAATATCGTCCCCAATGTAGTTTCTGACAGCAAAATAACACACCGCATTCACTTAAGTATGTTCTGAAAGACAATGTCTTACACCTGGGAGAGGCTGTTAACGAGAAAGAAAGAGGCACTTCCTTTAACCTGATGAGGAGTGTCAACCGAGCGCTCTGGAGAAAGAAGCTCATTACCGTTCAACACGGTACACACCTCGTTGCACTGAAGAGCAGCTTGGAGTCTGCTCAAAAAGGGTCTTGTATAATTGTATTGTTTTATTGTTTAAAAGTATTTGATTTTAAATTCAAACACTCAACTACTTCAAAATGAGCCAATTAAACCCAAACTTTTAAATGGAACAAGCCACAAATGAGCACAGGTATAGTTTAATCTTCATTCAAGATGCTCATTTTGATGTTTCCCAGCTGCAAAGGACTGGGAAAGCAAACCATCGACTTTGATACCCGGTCCAGCAGAAAGTAAATGTGGTGCTTTGGCATCAGGTGCATTGTGGACTGTCTTCCATCAAAGGGAAGATTGACAAAATGGGACCGTTTATTTCCATCAGGGGCTCTGGGTTTCACGGCTGCCATGGAGGATTGTATCAACGCGAAGTACTTGAAGACTGACATCTCAGGCTTTTTTCTTCATCAATACACTCCTGAAGCACATTCATTATGCATTTCTTATATAATGCAACCGCTTTTGTATATTCATGGCCTCTAATGGCATTATAAGCCTCAGTCAATAGTATGCCCAGGGTTTGATGTGCGATATTACAACACATTCTCATCCTTTGGCGTCATATAGGTGACGCCATATGACATTTCGTTGAAATACTACGCACATGGCACCCTTTAGCGTGAATATAACACGCACTGTTATGGGTAGGTTTAGGTCTGGGGTAGGGTCTGCGTCTCATATTGACGCTAAAGGATGCCAGTAACGTGTATGACGCCTTGGGTTCTGCGTGTTATATTCACGCTAAAGGGTGCCATGTGTGTAGTATTTCAACGAAATGTCATATGGCGTCACCTATATGACGCCAAAGGATGAGAACGGGCTCGATATTATCAGTAGTTAAAAATGAAATCAAATGCCTCTTGAGCTGATGTGGTACAACGATCGTCCTGGGTGTCATCAAAAATCGAACAAGCACCAAACAACTCTATTAATAGTTAAACACAGAAGTTAAACAGACTGGCCTCCACAGTCACATCCTCAGATAGCTTACTCACTGAAGAATACTGCACAAAAATGAATCACCAGTTTGTAACGTCGACCAGAGTGTTTTAGGAGTGCCCAGATGACAAAAATAACAGTAAAAAGAATACGATAGACGACAGAGTTGGTAATCTTTATAGCTTCAGATGAACCCTGCACTCTCCACATACACTAAAGAGAGTGGGGTGAAAAATACAACAGGCACACTCTAGCAGAATTACAAATAAAGGGAATAAAAGAATCAGGATGCTTTCTTGAGCATTTAGTAGAGCAGTCACCTGTATCACTTGTGCAATCGCTACATAGTACTTAGTAGCAAATTAAAGCAGATATCCAAAGACAGAATTCGATTTTGAGTTATTAAACAATATGTAGCCTACTTAAAGGTATAGTTCATAATTTTTTGTCAATATAAAGGATATGCACTAGTAGTAGATATGCCTCTCTTATATGCACTTAGAGTGCACTTAGATATGCACTCGAAGTAGGTTCGAGCGTGTGTTGTTATGCCCACTGAGTGGCAAAAAGACTGAGTGGCAACATTGGTTTTCTGCGTGAATGCCGTGAAAAACACACAAAACACTATAACGGGAAAAAGCTTTGAGATTGACTGTACAAATAGATTTGACAAGAAATCGGAGGTATATTTTACACAGCTAGAAAAGAGAAGCTAATGGATCACTGCAATTCACAGAAACAACTGGACTCCAATTTGCAGTTATCATTTTGTGTAAATGTGTTGAATTTTGGGGTAAAATCACACACTATATATTGTATTGACAACTCATCAATTAAATATTATATATTTTATTCTGCATAATTGGACTTTTTTTTTTAAACTGACAAAAACTATAAAATGTTTAAGGCTGGCCGATATGACGATATATATATATATATATGTGTGTATATATATATATGTGTATATATATATATATATGTGTGTGTGTATATATATATATATATATATATATATATAACATTGATATAAGTGATCACCCGGATTTAGACTTCCCTATATTGTATTTTTATAAAGAGTTCACAGGCATATTTACTTTAGTATGCATTTCCCCGGTGTTGAAATCAGGCACTTATAAATGTTAGGAAACTGAATTTCTGGCTGCATGTCAATATCCATGCAACCCTGGATCTTTGGTAAGTTGTAAGGAACACTATCAAGTCTAAATGTTAGTTTAAACTGATATAATCGTTTGTTTTTAGTTTTCGCAGTTTGCAATATTAAATCCAGTCATGCAGCAAGCTCTTTTGCCACTCAGTCCAGCTGAGGGGGCCTGTTCTGGAGGAGAAGTGACGTCAATGCATACCCTCTATAATGCAAGTCAAAGGATCCAAAACCAATACTTGACTCCCACCCACAAATTTATTTTTTGGTGTTCAACAAACACGTTCATCTTATTTTGCGTTGAACAACATGATGGTGAGTAAATTATGACAATGTTCATTTCTTGGCGAACTATCCCTTTAATACATTTGAGCAGACAGATATTCTATCAACAATGCCAAATGTCTAGGCTGCTTAGCAGAGTTTTTTCCATGACAATTTGTTATAGTTGTATCAATTGTTCGAGATAACACCGTCGTGAAATTGCAAGTAAAAACAAAGTGACCTGTGCCTGGTAATGTTTCATTTCACTTCACTTCATGCGTTTCTCGGATCGGATAGCTATCTGATTTATCAAAACGATTCCATTTACACCTGGTCACATAAATGTGTTTTTGCAAAACGGATATAAATCCGATCATCAATTCCCGTGCTATATGCAGATTTAATGGAGTGCACGTCACCGAAAGCAACAGATATGAGCTGCATTTTATTGATCATCAGCTAATTTCA